CCAAAAGTTGGGACAGAGTGTTTTTGTTTATACCTCCAGCTGGCAGGTCAGACCCAGGCAGCCCTATCTATTTTTACCCCTAGACAGTCTGCAGGAAAATAAATCTTGCTTGTCTGGTCTGCAGGTCATTTGCCTGGTCATTGACCTACATGTACAGGCAAGTGTAGCCTGGGTACCATCCCAGTAGTATATTCGACAACTCTATAACAGTTATAGAGTTTGCGAATATACTACTGGGGATGGTACCCAGGCTAAGGCAAATGACCTGCTGGCCATCAAAGTAAACAAACCATGGTAACAAGACAGTAAACGCCTGCACATGACAGCTTGATAAAATACAAAGTGCCACCACAAATCATTCTGCTGATAAAAACAAAGTTTGACTCATAATATCTCTATTGAAATACACCAAAAGATTACAAAATAACAAGCTATTTCATGGAGGGATGATGTCTACGACTTCTCCTTGTTTTATCTGTGAGAAGGTAAAATCGGCCTGCAGGTCACTTTCCATTGAGGTGATGAGGAAAGAGGTAAGCGTCAGACATGGTATAGAGTTAACATCATTTTTAAATGATTAAATGTGTATTAAATGTCATTTTTAAATGTGTATAGATGTATTAGGACTTTAAAAAGTCCTGATAAATCTATACACATATTGTACACATTCATGATGGTACAAAAACATACAATATAAAAATATTATAAGAATGAGAGCTTGATTGTATATGGTATGTGTAGTTCGTTTTGGTCGTTTCTGATTTCTTGACTTTTAGAATTCCTGAACTGCTGCATCAAAATGGTTGATATACCGCTTAACACAACTTGATATCACGTATGTGTAAGGATATATGTCTATTATTTGTTACCACTAAATATCTTGGATTTGGCAGCAGGACTTCAATCGTGTATCTTTTTATATTTCCTCTCACCATTATACCTATTTCCTCATGCATGACCTGAAAGAAAAGCGGCCAGCAGGCCGATTTGAGTATTTCCTGATTAGGCCACAGTAAGTAATTTTTATGGATGACATCAGCTCGCGCATTAATTTTCGCCTGATTTTGGAGAGGAAAACAAGAAATTTTGTTGCCTTCTGACAGTGGTCAACATGCCGAAAAGGGGCAAAAATGTCTGTTGCCATGCCGGAAGGTGGATGGCAGATAACTATGAAGAGAGGAGACAAGAAAAGGCTCTGATTTAATGTGACGTTCCTACTGAATCAAACCCATTTGTACAATTATTGAGTCAAAATTTGAAATTGTAGGAACCTTGTTTTTTTCGGCCCGCCTTGTTTTTTTCGCCCGCTCGCATTAGATTTGGAGTCTGCGGAGGATGTCATCCATAAAATTTACATTCTCCGCAGACT